AAAAAAAAAAAAAAAAAAGAATAAAATAAAAAAGGAATGTAATTTTGGTACACAAATATTAAATTCGACGTTTATAATAATAAATATATGGAAGTATTATAATTGAAAATATAATTCATAGTTATAAAATGTGGAAATTATAAATATTACTATATGTTAGTTTATATTTGTAATGCATGCTCTAATGTAAAAGAGAAAATAAAGTTATTATTGCAAACTAAAAAAAATAAAAAAAAAAAATTTACTAAAGCATTCATGTCAATATTTATATATGAAAATCATTAAATGACTACGAATTTTATTATTATATAAATAATGTATGAGAATAAAAATGTCATTAGGGTGTGTAATATACCAAACTAACAACATTTATAATAATTTATTAAGAAATATATGAAATAATCAAATATTGGAAATAAAATAATTCAAATTAATGAAAAAGAAAATATTACTTATCGAAATTATCATAATTGATGTACCAAAAAAAAAAAAAGAAATTATCATAATAGAAACTGAACACGAACAGACGTGACTAGGTGCCGGGCCAAGGTCCGGCCCGGCCTGCTGGGTCACGGGCTCTCCAACACCCGGACCGCGACCGGCCCGCTAAGAACCAAGGGCCGGTTCACCGGCCCGGCGGTTCACGGGCCGGTACTGTCTTAAGAAAAACAAAGAATTTGGCCCGGTCCGACCCGGTGGGACAAAAATAAAAAAATTGAACTGGGACGAACCGCGGACGAACCGCGACCCTACGGTTCCGGTTCAACGAACCGGCCCTTAAGAGGCCGGTGCCGGTTCGCGGGTCGGGCCACGGGCCTGTTCGGCCCATGGCCATGTCTAAACACGAATATATATATTAAGCTCAAAATTACTGACGGCTGAAAATTCCAACCAGTGTCTTGACACTTGAAATTCATGAAACCAGTATTAATATATCATGTTTGAAATGATTGACAGATCTATACTCGACTACTCGTGCCGGGTAAATGGCCTGGTTGGCCGGGCCGAGGCATGAAATGGGTGACACTCTGGTCCCGGATCCGTGGTCAACAGGTTTGACCGAGCTGGGTCCGTGCAGGGTCCAGGGGCGAAGCTACTTGTACTGGCTTTGCGTTGAACTACTTGTACGTAACAAAATTTCACCGTGTAAGACCCCATTAAAAAAATAATAAGACCCCGACAGCAGGGCGGATCTATATAAGACACCGTGTAAGACCCCCCGACCCGCTCAACTAAAATTTCTGGCTTCGCCCCTGGCAGGGTCGACCGGCCGGGCGGCCCTTGGCCATGTCTAAGCCTGGTAGCGGTAGGTAATAAGCTTTACCTAGGCGGGAGCTTGGAAATGTAGGATTCACCTTAACATCATTATCTCACCAAACTTCTATCATTTTAGTCGCTTTACAAAAGTCGGATGATTTTCAAGCCACTATACTATACTCACCAACCCCTTAATCAAACCTGCTTACTTCACCCGCTGATCATCTCACCTGTAAGAAAAAGCTTGCCAAATTACTCGTTCTTCTGTAAGTCTATCTTTATTTTGCATCGTGCTTGCTGATTGTCATGTGCCCCACTAGTTTTTTTTTTTCAAGTAATTGAATGTTATTTTCTTGAAAATTCGGAGCCCATCTGCTAGTTTCTTGTTTTCTGCCTCTTTTTGTCAGTAAAGGTTCGAGCTTTCCACCTTATTTTTCAGTGGGCTCTTGTCTATTTACGGTATTTCACTGTCTGAAATGCTGCAAGAATCTGGGTTCTCTGGACCTGAGTGAAAGTCGTGTTCTGTTGGGCTTTCATTTGAATACTAGGATTGTTGCATTTTGTTATTGATGATTGTGTTTGTAATGTTTGTAATGGTCAAATTGGCTGACAAATGCAAGTTCTTTACACGACGAAGAACTTAATTTCTCTTCTTATGGATTAATTACCTGTGTAAGGAAATCTCAAGCCGCTCTCTATATTTGTTGTTGGAATCCCAAATTGATTACATACTTCTCTTGTCTTGAATTAAACTATAGCAGCCCATATAATTGAGGAGGTTTGTAAAGGCATTGCAGATATGAGTTAACCTTCAGTGGACTTCCTTGGTTAGCAGTACACTCAAAAACAAGAGTGATGTATGAAAAAATTAGCATGTTATGCGCTTATGCCATTTAAGGAGTGTATGTTCACAGAATCCTTTTATTATCCCATTTCAACTTAAGTTATTCATTCTAGTTCTAGTCATTTAGATGTGATTCCTATTTTTCAACAACAAGCTGTCATATACTCCAAGCTGAAAGCCGAATTACCTATGTTGAAGTCAGTTATCATATCTGGTGTATCTTGCCAAGCTGCCTCCCTAAGTATATGCAAACTATCTAAAGAAATCATCTCTTTTCTTGATGTTTAATGCATCTTCACCCACTCATAATGTTCTTCTCTGGCATACCCATTGTCTTTACTTGCTTTCTTTCTTTCCTTCGTACTTTATCGTGTTCTTTGTAATGAATATCTACCGTACAATGGATTGTGCTGCCATGTTGCAAGTGCAGCAGTTACTTCTTACTGCTCTTATAAGTGTCAGCTAGTGAGTATGCGAGTCTGTCTTTCCTACTTTACATCTTGTAACAGAATATGGTGGGTATAAGTTGTATATTTTTTACTTAAAAACAGTTAAAAGAATATTTGATATACTCTCATGCCATCCGATTTCAAATAACTGCTTTGACTGAATATTCTCATATTGGGCTCTGACAACTGTAGGGTTTTGCTGTTGTTTTTTATTTTGGACAAAGTAAATTTGGCTTTTAGATGGCACAAGTGTCAAATCCAAGTGACGAGGTAAGCTGAGCTTTCAATTCCTTATAGGAAACATAATGTCTCTTTCTCCATAGTTCACATGTTGACTGCACTTTTTCAGTGCTTACCTGTAATAGTTTTCTTTCGGATACCATATTTGAATTTCTTCATTAGGTTGTTCTTGGCGAGGAAATCGGTCATGTAAGAATGATTACCTTGAATCAGCCTCGACAACTAAACGCTCTTTCATTGGAAATGGTATCTAGATTAAAATATCAACTCTCAAAATCAGTTCCTTTTCTGTTTACATTTTTCCTTCCTTGAAATTACATTAAGAAACTTCCGAACATTTTTGGACTAGGTTACTTTGGTAGCGAAGCTTCTGGAGAAGTGGGAAAAAGACGATAACGCAGAACTTTTACTAATCAAGGTCAAACTACAGATAAATCTCTTTATATCCTGGTGACTTACATAATGATTCCGCGCTTTCACTTTGTCTATGTCGAAGGATTGTTTAACTTGGGTATAAAATCTCCAAATATTCTAGCTCAAGTTTATCATGATGTATAGGGATCTGGCCGTGCTTTCTCTGCTGGAGGGGACCTGAAAATGTTTTACGATGGAAGGACTTCAAGTCAGTGGATTATCATTCAAAAATTTGTTTGTAAACTCACTAATCTTGAGATGGATACAAGTTACTGTTTTCTTTCTTTTATCTTGTTGTCTTTGGTTCATACAGAGGATCCATGTGTTGAAGTGGTATACAGAATGTATTGGCTTTGTTACCACATCCATACCTATAAGAAAACACAGGTATCAGCAGTGCCAGTTGTTTTTAAAAATAGATATTAGATAGTATTGACTGAAGCTATCGATATTGTCAGGTTGCTTTAGTTCATGGGATTTGCATGGGCGGAGGTGCAACATTAATGGTCCCAATGAAGTTCTCTGTTGTGACAGAAAAGACTGTTAGTATAGTAACCATTGAATTTTTGTGTTTTTTGTGTAATTTGGTCACTTGAATGTCAATGGTTTTCACTAATACTATGTCATCAAATATGGAGATAGGTTTTTGCTACTCCAGAGGCAAGCATTGGATTTCATACAGACTGTAGCTTCTCATACATTCTTTCCCACCTCCCGGGTCATCTAGGTAAGCTGAAAAGTGATTTACGGTTGTGGCAGAATATATGTGTGTGTGTGTGTGTGTGTGTGTGTGTGTGTGTCATCTAATTCTTTCCCACCCTTTTCTTACTTTTAAGTGCCTTCTTGTTATGTTAAAGCTAATTTAGTCCATGTGCTTATTCAGGGGAGTTCTTAGGGTTAACTGGCGCCAGGCTGAGTGGTCAAGAATTGGTTGCAGCAGGGCTTGCCACTCATTTTGTCCCTTCTGAGGTTAGATGAAAATAAGTTATGTCATTGAGTCCTTTTTACATCTTTTTATTGTTTTTCTTAAATATTTCTTGATTTAACTCATGTGATTCGAAAGGCTTTACTGCATTTAAAAATCGGAGTGTTTATCTGAACCACGATAGAGTACTGTTTCAATGGTAAATAAACTGATGGTAATGATACCTTTGCCCTGTCATTCCCTTTGATTTTAAGTTTAGTGCAAATTATAGTAATCATGCAAAGAGCCAAGATACTATTCCCAATGGATAAGTTTCCAAGATCTGAAACTCTTGTTCTATTATGTTATTTTCTTAGAAATTTCCGGAGCTGCAGAGTCGCCTAATAAGTTTAAATAGCGGCGAAGAGAAAGCTGTCAAATCTGTGATTGGGGAATTCTCTATAAATGTTGAGGTCGATGAAAAGAGTATCTTGAGCAGGTAAATAATGCTGAAAATTCATATTTACTTTCATGAGAATCTCTCTAATCTTAAAAAGTTCCAGCGCTTACATATAAGCTCGCATGCAGGAAGGCGATCATAGATGAGTGCTTCTCCATGGAAACTGTGGAAGAGATCTTAGCATCATTAGTGAGTTATTGAAGAATGTAATTTGTATATCTTACCAGTCGATTATCCGAGCTAATGTTTTTTTTTTCTTTTCCAGGAAGTTGAGGCCGGTAAAGAAGGAAATGAATGGCTAGTTCCTTTCCTTAAAGGGATAAAGAGATCATCACCGACTTCATTAAAGATAACCTTACAGTCGGTAAGTCTTTAATCCTAAGATTATGTCAAGAATTTGAAAATTGTTATTCAATGTTTTCACTCACCTTAGTAGCATTACTAATTTTGACGTCACCGAAACTGCATTAATCGTGGTTTTTGGTTAACCTTAGATTCGTGAAGGAAGGAAGATGAGATTATCCGATTGCCTGAAGAAAGAGTTCAGACTTACTATGAACATTTTCAGGAGGGCAATATCTGATGATGTGTATGAGGTAGTATAGTACGCAAACTTTTCTTCGAATCTTCTCCGTTAGTTAATATACATATGTACGAGCCATCTTGTTGGTATCTGAATGGCTTCTTCCTTCTTCTATACAAGGGTCTTAGAGCTGTTGCAATCGACAAGGATAATGCACCAAAAGTATGGCCTCTCTCTCTCTCTCTCATTGCAAATAATTCAATCATCTATGCATCAGAAATTAGAAATTAGAAACTAAGAAAATGGACTGAGAGTGTAAATCTACTGATTCAAACATAAATGAAAATAAAGTTTTACAGTTCTACATGAGGATTATCCTCCTGATCTTATTCATTCTCGAAACTTGTCCAGTGGGAACCCTCGTCTCTTAAGGCCGTTGATGCAGAAAAGATCAAGCAGGTTTTCGAGCCATTTGAAAAAGATTTGGAGCTCAATATTCCCATAGGAGATGATTTCAGGTTTAGTTCTTCTCTGTGAACCTAAAAAAAATGATAATGTATATGCTTCAACTTAACTGATTGTTTTTTCTTTGTTTCCAGGTGGCAAGGAAAATATGAAGATTCACCATATCCAAGGTCTCAGGTATGCAATGTATAAGTTACTGTAGAACCATTTGTATCTTAAGTGGCACGTGTATCGAAACATTATTCTCCCGAAAGGGGTCTCAGTTTGCCGGCTACAGATTGTTCATGTTATTTCAGACTATAAGACCCGTCTGGCCATAATAACAATCATTATGAGAATTTTAAGTGATTGCATTATGGTAGGATTGTTCGCGAGCAAAGTTTCCAAATAACAAACTGAATCCGAATTTTTGAGGCTTGATGTCTATAGCTTTCGAGCACACGTCCATCCAGAGGCATCTTTGACGTGCTCGAGTAGACAGTATAGTTTTGAACAATAATACATCTCCATATACATATCCTTTTCAAAATAAGCTAGCAACTTTTCAATGAATATAATTACAGTTATACACTGCTTCACTCTTTTAACATGGATAATGATTTGGAGTTAAAAATGACAACTATGTAACATTGAACATGTAACTTGTTCAAATGGAAATTAATGACAGGGAAGTAATTAATTGGAAGACTTCTGAAATTGATTAAATATAGTAGTTACGTATTTCAATTTATTTAGTTAAATGCAAAATGCCCCAAGCATTTTGTTTACTAAGCATAACCAAATTTTATGGAGGCGTCGTTTATGGAGGCATGCAGCTTCCACGACCTGACTTCACTTTACCGGCGTTTTATTTCCCACTGCAATTCTATATCCTATTACGGATTGTCCAAGTGTCAAGTCGCTTGTTTCGACAACGCCGGCCGCTAACACGTTTGCTTTCATCAAGCGTGATCTTACTTCACTCCATTGTTGTTTGATTTTACGCTACCATTTGAATCATCGTGTGATGCCTATAAGGTGCACGTCGGGGCAGTGTGATGAGGATCGTGTGTTTCGACTGTCGATAAGCCACAAACCAAGGCCTTGAATCGCCGATAGTTGCCTAGAGGTTCACAAACCGCACCTCTCTAAACGATATAATTGCTATAGAATCTTGGTGAAAAACTAAAGCAAAGAGGATGAACAAAAGTTCTTGAGTTCTTATTAATTCTTCAATGATGAAAAATAACATGGGGGGTTGGTCCTTTATATAGGCACCAAATTATATCTAGTCCTAATCTACCTAGGGAAATAATAAGCAATAAAATATTCAATATCCTAAACAATCTAGATCTCATAATGTAGGATGGAAACAACTTGACTTGCACTCCACTCAAACTTTTTCTCTCTCTCTTTGGCCTTTGTACGCGGGCGCCCTACCCGCGCGCCGCCCTCGTCCATGCCATAGTCCTTGAGGACTAGGGCACCGCCATTAGCGCGTGCACGCCCGCCCGGCGTGCGGCACACGCCTGCGCTCACCTCGCCGCCCTCGTGCGCGTGTCCATCCATCAGTCCGTACTCCTCGAGGACTGCGGCATGGCGTCCCGCGCGTCCATTCCCATCGGCCGTGTTGCGCATGCCTTCGGCCCCGGCGGCTTCCCCGCGCGCGTGTTGCCCCGCCTTTCCGCATGCCTCGAGGCATGCGGCTTCGTCCGCTGCGCGTGCTTCCAGTGCGCCCGATCTTTCCGTGCGCGCGCATCGACCCCGCGCCACGCAAGCCAACCGCACACCCCGCCCGCACATCCGCGTGCAGCGTATCCTCGCCCGTTTCTCGCGCGCTCCGCTCTAGTACGCGTACTTCGGCCGTCGCTCGTGCTTGTCTCCTGCGCGCATGGTAAGCCCGACTAGCGGCGTTCTTGAGCTGCCTAGCCACTTCCGCATCACAGTGTTGAGACAGAATACGTGCCCCATGGCTTTCTTCAGCGAAAAGTTGTCGGACCCATGGTTGCATTACAACACATATGATGTGGAGTTCTATGTCATGGTGCGAGCCATCCGTTATTGACGTCACTATTTATTATGTATGGATCATGACACACTTCTAAAATAATAACTTTGAAAAATGCTAAGGTCCCGTTACGGAACCACTCCGTCGAGGTTTGTAACCGTTAGATCAACTATCCCCGACGGTTACAGGATAATCTAACGGTTATAAACCCCGACGAAATGGTGCCGTAACGGGACTGTAGCATTTTCCAATAACTTTAAGTAAATTATCACAAAACTATCAAACAATAAAAATGGGTCTGGAATGTACACAAGCAGGGCTTAAAAAAGCATATACAAGAGTACAAGACACGAGTAGAAGACGGCTCTTTTGACTTTCGAAGTTTATCTATCGATGCCTTCTTCATTCTCAATCGCCCGTTCGATTGGTCGGAAATGGTTTGCCGGATTATCTAATTATCCGATTTTACGGATAATCGAATCTTCTTTTTCCGTCGACTGTTGCAGGAATAGGTCTAACCCCCTTTATATGAAAGGCATGAGCACGTTGGCCGAGCCGATGATGTTCTCGCCTTCAACGACACAAAACCACCCATCATCTCCTTGGCTTATGCTGCCGCCCTCCTTTGACGTGACCTTCACCGGCGCCGCCAGCATCAGCTACAACTTCTACAGCCTCGCCGACAATAAAATCGTAACCCATAGTCTCGAAGAGAGAGAATTAGCGGACCCGCTCATGGTGTTCGCGGGATCTTCACTCGGCTGGCTATCTTTGATGAGCCCCAGCCGCGATCTGTTCCTCTATAATCCCATCTCCGGTCGCCGAATAAACCTGCCTTCAGTTCGTGATCTCCCCGATTATCCTGATAACTTGGCTGAAGTCAACAAGGTCGTACTCTCGTGCTCCCCGGAAGACCCAAATTGTCGAGCCATCATTATCTACAACAACGTATGTGGGCTGGCTTTTTGCTGCCCCGGGTTTAGCAAGGAGTGGACACATATCGGGGATCACCACTGGTTTGATGAAAATTTGGGACGGTCCTTCCGGCCGGGCTATAGGGACTGTGTCTATTCCACAAGACATGAAGCATTGTTTAGCCTCACGAAACAGGGCTTATTGGAATCTTGGGATCTTCGGGACCCTCACCCGAGGGCTGTGAAGATAGCCGAGGTTGGTGAGAGGGGTGGCAAAATTTGGTATGAAAAGCAGAAGCACTTGTTGTTAACGTGTCAGCCAGTGGAGCATCTGGTAGTGGCCGGGCAGGATCAAGATCTCCTCGTGGTGACGTAGTTGATGCATTTGAGTTTGATGGATTGTATGTCGATGGCTGTGACCCGTCTAAGAAAACCATCAAACGACGCCTTCCGTGTATGACTACTGATTTTGCTGTTAAAAAACATAACCCTGAGGATGAGGATGTTAAGTATGTCAAGTCGTTAGATGGCTTGGCTCTTTTTGTTGGCTTCCAGAGCGATGCATTCTCGCTGCCAGTGGCAGAGTTCCCCGAGCTCAAGTCCAATTCCATTTACTTCACGGATGGAGCAGTAGACGGACTGATTGAAGACTACCCAACGGGTGGCCATGACATTGGCATTTTCAATTATGAGAATAAGACTGTGTCGCCATGCTATTATCCATGTGATATCAAGAAAATGAAAAAGACTTTCCCTGCGCCTATGTGGTTCTTCCCAACTCGTGCATGATTTGGTCTTATGGTATCTACCGTCTCCGGTTTTTGTTTAGTAATTTACTAATTAATTTTTTTTTTTTAAAAAAAGTTATGCTTTCATGTTTGTGTTAATTGGTGTCGGCGTAATTCTTTTTAGTTATTTTGCTACTTTGTTTTTACTAGTAAAGTGCACGTGCGATGCACGTGGTGACGAACGTTGTTGGCCAATTAACTTTAGTAAGATAAATTAATTAATTTATTACATATATAATTGCAGGAACAAAAAGAAAATGTAGTATAAATAAACTTAATATATTCTTTTTTTTCCAAAAATAACATAATGATGTTGTAACATAAAAATATTTAAATAGCATATTACAACCCCAACAAAAATATATGAAAAATGAATCCCTAATAAAAACTAAATAACTAAATAAGAACATAATGTATATAATAGATGCATGAATTCGTTTATTTATTTATGTTAGATTCAAGAGTGATCTGATTTCATTTTGGTTTTTTATGTTCTCATAAGAAACATTCATATTCGTTGAATTCAAATACATCAATAGTATTGCAAAATTCTTCTTAATTAATTTGACAAAACGTCTGTTTTATTTAAGACTTAGAAATACTTTAGCCAAACTTCATGATTATAGGATCATTATAAGACATTTCTAATAACAGTTCATAAGTATATCTGTGAAATAACCAACTGTGACATTAAATCTTTTGATATTTGTGTTATTAAAATGTTTGATATTTTTTTGAATCATTGTATAAACCACTACATCTCTCTCTCTCTCTCTCTCTCTCTCTCTCTCTCTCTCTCTCTCTCTCTATCTATCTCCATATAGACAAATTGGTACTTACCCCATTAGGTGAGAACGAATTTCCTCTCTGAATAAAATTTGATTTTCCAAAATCATGTATTTCTCCGAAGAAGCTAAATTATTTTTTGAAATGATCACACATTACATGAAAATAAGTACTTTAAAGTAATTGCATATATGATCGAGCATAACGCACATTTATAATTGTAAATATTCCTATCAATAAGTGACAACTTATTAAAACGTTCAAAAATATTTTGATCATTATCAAACATTCCCTTTTCAATGTTATTTATTTGGAGATAGACGAACTGCATAACCTATTATTTGCAAATCATTGAGCATTTTAGTTGTTGCAATGATTTTAGAGTTGTTTATCATATTACATATCACATTCATTCAGATTTGCAATATTTATGTGTCTAATAACTTATTTAATGCATTTATTGTCCATTTTTTTGTATGATAAGTTTAACTAATGTTTAAAAATTTAAGATAAAGATCTTTTATTGATTCTTCAATAAGATAACAAAACAAAATAATGAGACAATTTTGAGAAACATATTAATTGTCAAAATATTTCAGGTGAGAATAATTTGAATTCTATTATATTATGGTACTCTTAGTCATCTGTTAACTTTATTATTATGAAGTCATTATTAAAGTTTGTGGTCTATCTTATGATAATATCGAATCATTATTTATGAAAACCAATGTCTTATAGAGAACATATACTTAAATGCTAGCAACTAAAAAAAATAGTATTTTTTTTTTTAAAAAAAAAAAATTGTTTCTTGATATTAGTATTCACAATTATTTTAAAAAAAAAAATCAGACTTTTTCTTTTCCTCGTTGCGTTATTATTGTTTTACTTGTTTTTTTATTCACAAATAATATTTTATTTGTTGAAAGAATTAGAGCATATTTATATACGTTGCGTTTTTTTTACGTGTTTGATAGTAATAATATATTTGATAAAAATTTACTTTTATATTGTTTATAAGATTAAAAAGTTTTTTGATTTCTTTCCATTGTTTGATAAAATATTAAGTAACTAATTCATTTTTATGTTCAAAAAAATATATTTTACAATCATTATGGTGTTCCCTTTCAAATTGAATAATAGTTTAACATACAACTCATTTATTAAATAAACAAACCTCGCAGAATTCAAATTCGGGTAGAATAAGTTGGACAACACATTCATTTATGATAAACTCCATTTGCAGGAACTATTGTTGACAACAAAGTTTGCGATCTTGACTGCAATAATTTCTATGTTTGCGCTCATGCTGCGGGAATAGTGAGTTGATTCGTTCAAAAATTCATATTTTTTATTCTTTAGTATGATAAACGATAAACCTCATGAATAGTTTCCAAAATACTCACAAGTCGCAACATTACTTAATTTATAAAAACTTTGATATAATTTTTGATTTTTCAAGGGACTTTGCGACCAACTCATTACCATGTCCTGTTAGATGAGATAGGTTTCTCGTGACATGATCTTAATGAGCTCATTCATTCCTTATCATATGTGCAAGTGAATAATCCTAATCCGTTTGCAAATTTAGACAAAAACTCGACGAACTTTGTAATGTACATCTTTTTTTACTCCACGCAGTTTCCAGAGAAACAACACCACGATTTCTAAAGGTAACAAGAATGCATGTTCAAATTCTCTCAAACTTTCGAGTTTAAGGTTAATATTACTCCTCAGTCATTACTAATAAAATTACCATGTTTTTTCTACTTGGCTTGATTCTTGCAGTTGCTCCTGTTATATATACACAATTCACACAATTAGCGCACCTATCACAGTTGATTGACCATGACAAGGTGCTAATCACGGGGTATCAACTGCCAAAAGCGCACAAAAACATGTCCTCAATGTTCTTCTCTGGATTTGTTGTGAAACCACTCGAAAGCTCATGTTTTGAAAGATTGCTTTATATTTAGTAAACATCTCGACATTTCCCTTACTAAGAAATATCTAATTCTCGGTAGTATGATCTATTTTTCCACTTGTAATTGTCAGTCCACAGATGAAAGAACATTTGCATTACTGTCAAACTAAAACACCACCAACTCATTTAGAAACACTGCTGATAACAAAAACAAAGGAGTTGACATCTTTAAAGCTAGATAGATAGAGATACAGAAAAAGAACTTTTTCTTCCTTTGGGGCATTGAACGAATGTTTTTACAAGTACATCGAGTAATTCAGGTCAAATTATGCACTTCCCATTCATGAATCAACACATTTAATGTTTTTCACAATGTGAAAGCACAAAGTCTTCAGCAACCAAGTACAAGCTAAATTTCTGACTAACCTTACGATTTTCGAATCACAGAAGCGTTGGAGATAAGGGAACTCACAAGCCATTTTTGGCTATGATGCTCACGTTAATAATCACAGCGTTGGACCATCCTTTGCTACTGATCGATCATTCGTATATTCACTTTCCTGACCACCTCCAAAGATTCATCTTTTACTCCAAATATTCAATTTTTAACTAAAAGGGCCTTTCTAGAATTGCATAGTATAAACAATGGAAAGTAATTACAAACAAGAAAATGAAGCCATAATATTTGTTTTTTTTTTAAAAAAAATCATGTAAACAGTTGTTAATAACTCACTGCAATTATAGACAAGAAAATGAAGCCATAATAAATTTATTTTCCCCAAAAATTTCCATGTAAACAATTGTTAATAATTTACTCATTGATTGATCACGATCAGTTTCTAGCAGCCAAAATCACCTAAAATGAACTGAAAAAAATAACACAAAACATTCATTTCCAGTCCGAACTACAACAAAAGACTCGCCTGTTCCTCCGCCCTCGCCGGTTGAAACTTCCAGTTGCTGGCCAAAATCCCGTACAAGATTGTGAATGTGGTGACAAAGAAGCTTGTGTATGTGACAACATCAAATGTGCTGTAAGCAAGAACAATCCCCTAAAAATGTTTGTGTACACTTTATACTGATTATTTATTTATTTGTTATCCAAATAGAAAAGATTCTATCTAATAATTATGATCTCCATCGCCTACTAATCTTTTTAATAGTTGAATCGAATAGTTCTGATTGTTATTGGTGATTGATGTATCCTGTCAGTAGAGCCAATATTGTTTTGTTAGTTATCTAAAGCAACATTTATGATTTAGCAATTCCCCCCAGCAAAGGTGTACAAGGTTTTCAAAGTACTCAGTTGCTTGAAGAGGAGGAAGGTCAGGTTGGAAAATGTTACGTCCGTTGATTATGTACTCGGTATGTGGTTGCTAACTACTAATAATAATTATATATTTAGTTACTTGTTTATCTTATTATGTACTCAGCTAACTACGCACACATGTATATTACATATCAATCCATGATCTTTACTGTTGATTAAATTGCACATAGATAAACATACAAGAGTCTTGTTATTTATATATATACAGTACTTGCAGACAAATGTCTGGAGACAAATATATTAACATAAAAAGACGTAAAAAAATATGACAAAATTATGGGATATATCACAAAATAACCACAGTAGTAAACAAAAGTTCTTCACCACTTAGGATGCACGATTTATACAATCTTCAATACAGGCAACTTAATATTATAGTCCTGACCATTAAGACTTATTCTTCACATTCCAAGTTTATTTTCACTATCCTGAAAAGTTGAAGAAGCTAGGACAAAATTTAGTCACATACGAACACACAACCCACGACTCACAAGAGTACATCATCAAAACATTCAGGATGAAGATTTATTAAGTTATCAGATATTATTATTATTCCTCATTTTTGCAAGGCTCCCAAAATATGAGTTTGATCATGTAAATGTACTTATTTAGCTATCACTACAGATTGATTATTTGTCTCATGTGAATCACAAGAACTTTGTAAGAATTAGTTCAAAAAGAGAATAGTGCATTTTACCTTTGACGAAAAAAATGAACACATAAACGAATATTAGTTGATCGAATTTTATGGAAAAGACCACCTCAGTCTAATATTATGTCACTCGGATTTCAACGGCAGATCAATCAACTAAAATGACAGCATAGAAATCTTAAAGTTAGAGGAAGACGGACGAAGTTTTAATTATATGTACACAAACTTTCTTTTATAGAACGTTAAATGAGTAACCAAACTTAATCAAAACCAATCACTTTCGAAAAAAAAAATAAAAAAAAAATCAAAACC